CATTGCTTTCCTATGCGGCCAGGTAAATGCCGAGCAACAGTAGACCATTTCTTTGGCCCATACTTGTTAACTAAATCAATTATTCTCTCATCCTCCTTCAGAAATATGGAAGAATAACATGTCATCGAATACAATTACATACATTGTTAAATAAACCGAGTCCCAACGACAGTGACCATAAGAAAAGAAAGCATGTAAAGCTAGGGTAACCAAGATTAGAAAGTCACCTCTTTTGACCATGGCCCTTTTACAAGTTCTGGGTTTAAGACTTTCTGCCACCTATGTAGACACTGGACATCAGTCCTATTCTGAAAAGATTCAGCTGAACAAGTGGGCCGAATTACAATTAGACAGAACTTGTGCAGTATGCCACAGAATAACAGGCAAACCTTACAGCTAGAAATAAATACTGCAATTAGTTTCCTAAAGCTCGGTTGTTGACTGACCTATCTTCTTCCAGTTCTTTCCTTTAAAATGCTCAACAGCTTTCCGCAAGATATCATCCTGAATACGTTTTGCAAGAAAATATAATTAATCTAACGGGGACCGATTAAATTGAAATCAACAAAGCAGCAAAATAGGCACTGCAAGAAGCATACACAGAGCTCAAGGGTAAGGAACCCACCTCTTCAGGGGTCCATTGTCCCTTGGTGGATCGTCTTGCAGGGCCATAAGTCCTCCTATGAGAGTGTTTCGCAAGTCATTAGTATAGATTCCAACATTTTACATTACAAAGACTTATCAGATGCTCAAAACGAGTCCAGAAATGATTCAATCTCAACATAGAAACCAACACAAGGATGGGGAACTAGGAGAGCATACCCATCCCTCCCTTTCTGGACACCATGGGAAGACCCTTCTTGAGGATTTGATGTTGTCATCTCACTTTTCATACCCCAATCCTTACACGTTCTCTGCTGTATGTACCGAATGTCTTAAGAATCATCATAGGTCCAGCACGACGCTAGACCTGTTTCCCTACTTTATCCTACAATCCGAAATTTAACCCGAAAAAAAAAGAAATATAGAAGACAAATGGAAGAAATAAGAACCCTGAGCTTCCACTGTAACAAAAAAATTTTCAAGAGAAACGAACAAACAACATCATCGTGCAAGGTCAGATAAATAGCAAATGAGTAAACTTCCCCAATAGGAAAACCTAGTTATGAGATTATGACATTCAATGCGGAAATTAGCATCAGATTATGAGATTCAATTCAGAAACTAAAAATCCCTCAAAGGTAGTTTATGCACACAAAACAGCGATTTCAAAATCTGATAACCCAAAACTCGCAAAAACTTCGATTTTTTTTTACAAAGTAAGGATCAAACCAAAATACCAGTAAGTATTCCAGAGAAAATGAGTTCTCAAACACGATATATAGGTTCCCGCACAACAAACAGCAAAAAAAATTAAGAAGACCCACCAGGATGGGAGCTTCAGAGGATGAAACACAGATAATCCGACAAGAATGAAATGCGAGGCCTGTAAGGCTCGCACACTTGCAGATCCACGGATCCAGATTGATGACGAAATCAAAAGATAGAGATCCGGAGTTTGGCGTTGATCGACGAAGAAGACTAGTTGAAGAGAGAGAGAGATTCAAACAATGAACAGGTGAAAATGGCAGTTTCTTTCCAAGTCCCCGACTCCTGAGTGTTATTACAGATAACGGAGATCGAAGCCAGATATGATCTCAGCCGTTCATTTCAAGTTCTGAATCTCGTCTTTAAAAATTGTTCCATTTCCACGCCATAATAATAATAATAATAATAATAATAATAATAATAATAATAATAATAATAATAATAATAATAATAATAATAATAATAATAATACACTTTGGTTTTTCTTTGTTATATTCTTAAAATTAGTCTCTCAGACAAACTAACATTTTCTCAAATGATTCAAACTAGTAAATTATATATATAATTAGTATGTTACGTTTTATTTTTATTAAAATAGTAAGCATAAAAATTTTAAAAACACTTAACAAGTTATTATTTTATATTTTCAAAACAAATTGTGTAGAGTTTTTTAGAGGTGAATATTTAGAATTAAGTTTCGGTTTGAGGTTGGTTTGATTATTTTTTTAATTTGAATCTTTAGTATAAAATTTTTATTCTGACAGATCTTTCAAACTATTCTATTTTTTACATGTGAATTAATATTTTAAATTCACTTTGGTTGTTTCTTTGGTATATTTTAAAATTAGCCTCTTTGTTCAAATTATAATATTTTTTCCAAATTTACAAAACTAGGCAATTTAAATATGCTATCGTTTTAATTGTTAATAGGGATAATCGCATTTAAATACCCGAACTTTTACAAAAATCCCACATAAATACCCAAACTATAAAATTGTCATATAAATACATGAATTTTTCATAACTCCCACATAAATACCCAGACTTTTTAATTTTTTCCAAATCAACCACTCATCCGTTAACGGCGTTAAACGTTACTGTTCACTCGACAAAAAATTGCTGACTCAGCAATGACTCAGCAAAAAAAACCCGCTGACTCAGCAAAAAGTGTTGACTCAGCAAAAAAATATTATTAAATATTCAAATTTTTATTTACATATATTTAAATTAATATATACATATAAATTCACACATATATATATACAAATATATATTAAAAAAAATTATTTATAATTAATAAAATACATATACACATAACTACAATATATAAATGTATATATATCATTACTAATGCATATATATTAAAATAAAAATAATTATAATTAAATTTATGTATATACATAATATATGTATTAAAAAAATAATTATAACTAACATATATACATATAATATATATTAAAAATAATATTTATATGTATACATATTAATTATATATACAAAATATACATATACAACTAATTAGGGATTTGTATATAATTATAATTATATATATTAGTTGTATATGTATATTTTGTATATATTACTAATATATATACATATAAATCTTATTTTTAATATATATTATATGTATATATGTTAGTTATAATTATGAATTTATATGTATATATTAATTTAAATATATGTAGATAAAAATTTGAATATTTAATAATATTTTTTTGCTGAGTCAGCACTTTTTTGCTGAGTCATTGCTGAGTCAGCAGTTTTTTGTCGAATGAACAGTAACGTTTAACGACGTTAACGGATGAGTGGTTGATTTGGAAAAAAATTTAAAAGTCTGGGTATTTATGTGGGAGTTATGAAAAGTTCAGGTATTTATATGACAATTTTATAGTTCGGGTATTTATGTGGGATTTTTGTAAAAGTTCAGGTATTTAAATGCGATTATCCCTTGTTAATAATTTTTTTTTCTCTAATATATCTCTTCCATGCCTGCCGTTTTCTTTTTTCTCTTCCTCTCTTGCAACCCCTCCATTTTTCTCCTTTTTCCTCTCAACATAATTCTTCTTCTTTTAGAATATTAGATACTGAAAACCAGAATCTAAATCCAAATTGAAATGTTAACTACAAAATTAAACTTAAATTTCTAAAAAAAATTAGATTTAATCAAATATAATTATAGATTAAAATTCAATAAAAAAAGGACAGGGAAGACAAGAGACTATAAACACATTTTTTTTTTTATCAGGGTGATATGCTACTACCATTTTCTGTTGAAATGTTTCTGTTTTTATTGTTTTTTTTTTTTGCAGTGTTTTTATATTGTCGTGTATACATGCCCCTTTTTTTAAAAAGTTTTTATGTATTTTTTTGTTTTTTTATAAATTTTTTATTTGTGGCAGTGGCACTAATCTTTGCCACTTTAATTTTCGTCCTCTCATGGAGATGGCGGTGACAATAGTACTAATCATCGAAGAAGATGAAACGATAATCCGTTTCCTTAAAAGAAAACGAATGACTTGTAATAAAATCACACTGAAGGGAAAAAATTGTATAAAAATGCAACAATAAAAAAAATTGTTTTAATATGTTGTATGAATGTCTGATAATCTTCATGAGAACAAAACGGGAACACTTTATGGACCAAGAGTTTTTTTTTTATAATCCGGAAGTTTACCGGAGGACCGGAGAAGTCCAGTGAATGTCTCTCCCCACGTTTGAGTTTGAACCCATGATGAGAATATGTTTTGTATGTTCTTTCACCATTAGACTATCCAAACTTGGATTTATGGATCAAGAGTTGCCTTCTCACCTTCAACAACTCAAAAGTTGTCTTCTTCTTCTTCTTGCCAAAGCTAGTTAGATTCATAGATTCTAGGCTCAAACCCTAAGAGCTTTGTTTGGGCGGCCGCTCGAGTGATCCGGGCCTCTCTTCTGCCCGAATCTCCCTCCGTTACGAACACAGCTACAGCTCGGGCTTTCTGAGATGCTTCAGTTTCATCAAACTGGCTGTATCCCGACTCAGATCCCATCGTGAAATCGACAAACTTCATGATCAAATAATACAAGGAAACATTCTTAGCAATCCATGTGTTGAATAGAACATAAGGAGAAACATTCTTAGCAAATCGAACCTTCAAGTATATATTACGAGTGAAACGTCATTCGAGACAAATTCTATTAATTAGAGTGTATGGATTCGACAAGAGAAACTCCAATTCCTATCATTGATGATTCACGAGATAATTATATGAATAATTAATTCAACTTCATCATATAATCGAAGATCATAGTACATATACTCGAGATAAGAACAATACGATGCAAATTTAATAGAATATAAGTTGAACTAATGAAAGTTCCAACTAAATAAAGTTTCAACTCAGATTTATATAAATTTACGTTATAGCAATGTTTTATTATAAAATACTTATTAATCTAAATATATTATTATTAGATTTATAATACCAACCAAATTTGTATCATTGTTTAAAATGTATTTGTTAGGTGTTCGTCGATCACATTTTTTAGATACAGTAGGATCTGCAAAAAATTGAAACTCATTCGTTGAGTCATAAAAAACTTATAAAAACATTATTTCGATCTTTTACTTTTTAACTCTTACTTCTATATTATTATGACCTGCAAAAACAAAAACTATTCACAATACCTTTTCAAAATAATACAACATATTGTTATCTTCTTGATATTTAAAAAAAAATCATTTTAGAATATAAATTATAAATCAAAACAAAATATATTTTATATAATTTTAAAACTAATAATAATTTTTTAAAGATTTATATATATATTTAGTCGACGCGAATGGCGTGTATTATTATCTAGTTAAAAGAAATCAAGAATCCATGACTTACAATTGTGTAAACAAATTATTAATAATACAATCGAATCGACAAAGGGTTCTCGATTTCCGAGAACATTAAATATCGTACATGCAAAGGTTCTCGAAACCCATATACTCGTGCCGTTGGATTTTGCCGACCATGTTAGAAATCCCGACGCCACCTACGAAGAAACAGTAGAGATCAGTACACGACCTATCGTGTTTTGTCGGTTTGGATTGTTGAATGCATATATGTTAGCGAAAAATCTTGAGCTACGGGGACGACAGATGCATATTAGAGATCTCGGTCTCGGGTTTATCAATCTGATTACCCGATCTCGACCTCGTACGGGTCGAGTACTCAAGCTTCGGGTACTGCTGGGTGTGACGAGGGGTCGGTATCCACGGGGACACGACGTATGACGGTGAAAGGGCGAGACGAGGAAAGAGAGAGTCAGGACAGAGGAGCGAGATGATTCGAACATTTGATTTGAAATCGTCTCGCTCTCAGCCCTCTAGCGCCTTGCCTTAGCCACGACACTTCGAGACCGTCTCTCTCCCTCCGCAACCCTTCACCCTCTCTCCCTCGGCTCGAATTACCCGCGGATACGGGTACTCCCCGGCCGAAATCCATATTTGTCCTGTCGGTGTACAAATACCCGAAATTTCGGGTACCCGACTTCCAAAAAATGGAAACTCCAAATTTTGGATTCGGCCACTCCTATAGCTAGGTGGATAGTCGTACCTAGCGAAATGGCGCTGATAAAGATCATGAAGGCGAGGATGAAGATGATGAGCGATGCCCGGCCCAGCACCGCAATCAGCCTCCTCACGACGTGCTGTCCGACGAAAGCAGCAACCGTTGCAACCGCCACGAAGTAGAGAGCTAAGCAAATGAAAAAAGAAAGACTTTTAGAAAAAGCTTTTGGATAGTTCCCATAAGGCTACTATGAATAAGATGCAGATTTAGGGTTTAAGTTTTCGGGTTTTTCGGGACGAAATCTCACCGTAAGGGACGGGAAAACGTTTGAGAATATAGTATTCCACTACAGACATTGACGACGAGAATGTCATTGCAAAAGTAGCGGTTGCACTTGATACCTACAGGTAAGAATCAGAAGCAAAATTTTATTTTACATTTCCATGGCTCCAATTCCAAGCTGGTTAAAAGTGTTGGCATATGGGGAAAAAAAACCTGTGGAGGAACCCCAAGCTCCAAGAACAATGGACCCATGATGAAACCTCCTCCTAAACCAAGTAAACCACCGACTATACCGGCCAATACGCCAAATGTACAGTAAAGAAGAAGCTGGGCGACGGTAAAGTTCGTGCCTGTTTCCCCCTTTGATGCGATTACTCTTCTTCCCTGGTATAGAGCTACGGCTTCATATGCCGATACACCGACTGATACAGGAATCTGCATTGTATCAAGAACCCCTAAACGTGATCCACATATCTCAAATCATGAAAGATCCGAAGAAGAACGTTATAGATTTCGCACCTGTAACAAGTTGATGACCCAATATAGTGCAGAACAAGTGGTTGTATGTTGCTGTTTTCCAAAACGGTGAACAAGGCGCTATTAGCAAAACACGAACAAGAGCGAGAACGAGGGATTGAAACATACGGAGCAAAAAGACAACCTTAGCTATCTGCAGTGCCAGGAATACAACCCAGACCAAAACTAGAAGCCCGAGTTCCTTCCAGCAGACGTTTTCAAGAACGGTTACCTGCAGTTGCTTGCACGGTTAATTGACAAAGATCATTTGGCAACACCCAACAACAACATCATCATCAACATCGCCTTAATCCCAAGTTTATTTGGGGTCAACTGCATGAATTCTTCGTTCGAGAATACCCAACAGCAAAAAAAAAGAGTGGCATTTACCTCTTCTTTCTTTGCCTTTCCAGGATTGCTGTCAGGAGCAGCGGGAAGAGGCCTGTATTCGACTTCCGCACCAGAGGCACCTGCTGGACAAAATGGGAGTATGAGCCAACGTTTTCCCGAGAAAAATGAAAAAAAAACAGATTACCGAGAAATGTTCAAACAACAAAACCCAACTCACCACTTGACTCCAAACGTTTAGCAGCCTCCTGTAGCACAAAAACAAACAACACATCATGGTCATATATAGAAAGTGAGTATCATCTCATTTTTGGTTATGTTTATTCATGCAGCCACAGTTCCGAACATATATACAGGAAGGCCGCTGTTTAAAGGCCAAGACTGTACAAAGTACCTTCTTTTCTATGGTTTCCTTCTTCCAAGTCTCGCAGCCCTTCAAAAACGCCTTCGTTGATGTGCCTGATGACATCAATGGAATTGATCAGATAGGTTTAACCAGGGAATAGATCCATAGAAAAGCAATGTATGAGCAAACTGAACTGATCTGAACAGATCATCACCTAAAAAGAGAATGATGAGTAGGACTGTGACCATCCAATCAGCAAAAATCACATTGAAGGCAACCCCAATACTGATTCCAAGCATCAGCATCGGCTGGATCAGCAGCGCGAGATCATAGTCGATGATGGGCATATCAAGTGTAGGATGCCTCAATCTTATGTTGTAATATACGGTTGACACAGCAGCACCCATGATCATGCCTAAAAACAACAATCATGTCGTCAAAACAAGAATGTGAAGAATCATGTCACCAAAACCAACAATCATGTAATATACAGTTGATACAGCAGCACCCATGATCATTGCCTAAACACAACAATCATGTCATAAAACCTTGGAAAAATCCAACTCATCAACAAGAAGAATGAGAAAGATTATGATCTGATCTGCATCATTTACATTTTGAAATTGCTGTGGCAGACTTTGGATCAAATCCAATGATCAAGCTGAGCATCGGCACAAAGATACCGCCACCACCGACACCCCCTACGCTACCAAATGCTGCCCCAAAGAATCCAACAAGTGTGCCCACAACGATTTCCCAGTTGAATTCCATCTCCTGAAATCGATAACCCCCCAAAAAAATATGTGAACATGTTCTCTCTTCCATGCTCCAGCAACAATAGCATTTTCAGACATCCGCAGCATCGTATAGAACAGAGAAAGAGATAACTTGCCGGCCAAACATGATGATAACCTCTTCCATCAGATTTCCACAGGAAATTTACAGCTCTAAGGAAGTAATTGTGAAAAACTCCCTGCATTTCTGAATCAACACTCGAAGCTTCTCCTCTCAAGTTCCTCTCAGCAGAGACAAAGGCAAAAGCTAGAGCGAAATTGACCGCGATCACGACTACCGATCTCATAACTCGCCATTTCGATCCAAACCCAGCCATTGTATTCACGATTCCAGAAACGGGTACGGATTAAAAAGAATCTACCGGAAAAACCTTTGACAGGAAAGGGAGGAGCGGATCACAGCCTGAACCAGCGTATCCTACAGAATATTTATAAAAAAAAAAAAAAGAGAACAACAACGTTACAAGAAACCGGAAGCATGCGGGTTTGGTTCCGGAGAAGACAAAAAGCGTCAGGACAAAGAAATGATTCCTGGAACGAAGACTAAGAAGGAAAAAGACAATGAAGGTGTAGTGGTGCCCTTACGATAGAACTCGTCCCCCGCGGATCAGGCGACAAACGCATGAATCTCGACTTTGAAATTTTCCGGAGAGCCAAACAGAAGACTTTCTGGGGAAAGATCTGCGAGAGAATGAAGGGAAAATAATAATTTAGACAGAAGGAAGACAGATCCGGGGAGGGAGAATTTGAGGGAGACAGGTTCGATTTACTTTATTTGTAATTGAAAAATAATTAAATTAAAAATCATCTTAATAGGATTTTGATTAGGTTTAGACACTCGGTTTTGATAAGAATCGAATATAAGCTGATTCAGTTTTTAAATTTCATCACATATACCCTTTTTAATATTAAATTAATCAAAATTAATCTAATTTTGGATTGAACATAAAAAAATAATCCAGAGTGAATTAAAGTAAATTTCAAAATAGATACTGAATTATTCAAATAAAAAATTTAGATAACAAATAAATGGTTATAATTTTAAAAAATAAATATATTTAAAAATAACTAGATTTAAAATATCTGTCCAAAATTATGATTATAGAATTAAGTGACTGAAAATTAATTTAAAATTAACGAACATAGCGTAACTTGAAACATATAATTTACTATATAAAATTTTGATTTAATTAACAATAGACATGTTATAAATTTTTAATTCATGTTATTCCATTCTCAAAAGTTTTCCAACAACCAAAATTAGGTATGAATTTATATTTATATATGCTTTAAATCAATGAAAGAAAAGTAGCATATAGAGAAGAACAAAAATGTGTAAAGTTTGATATCTTATTATTATAGGCGTTGCTGAAGTTTAATTTTCTTTATTAATATTTTATTAGTAAAGTTCATGGTCTTTTTGTCATTAATAATGATTCTCTTCTTTGGCATGGAGTTTGATTTTTGTTAAAAAAAATATATATTTATAAACCAAAATCTTATAATTATTTTAGGAAAAAAAATTATAAGATTTATATTTGTTTTAGCAAAAAAAAAACTTGATTTTACAAAAGTAATCCATGAGTCAAGTAAAAAAATAAACCTTGTGGCAATATCTTTTCACCACCCAAATATTTAATACTACTTGACGTATATAAATTTGGGATAACTATAAAAACTATAAAGTGTGGATTTTGATTTTTTTTAAAAAATCTCATAAATTACCATATTGTTATTAAAGTATGATCATTCATTTCCCTGTTTGTCATTTTAATCTAAATGTATTTTTTATTAAGATTTGCATTTTTTTCATTTTTGTGACATGTATGTTTTCTTTACTTAATTAAAGTAAGAAAACAGTCCAAATAATTTATGGCTAAAATTTGAAACTTGATGGTTTGTATCTAATTAGTATAATTGTGAAATTTACCTTTGGAAGAACGTCATATTCTAAACCAATCATAATAATAGGTGGTAAATTATGTTAATTTCGTTAACCAAGTTTATTTAATTCAAACAATTTGTAGAAAAAAATAATTAAATTATTTTAAAAAAATTTATGACGACAATTTTTCACTGTTCACGCGAGGTCTTCGAATTCTGAATGGACAGCCAATCAATGAGCCTTAGTGGACTTCTTTTTACCACTTTTTTACATTATTGATTATTTGACCTGCTTTTGGACCCACACACACCGTTTAGATGCAAATGTATTTCAACATGCTAAAAACGTGTTATCATATTAGGTTAACATTTTATTATTATTTTTTAATCAAATTAGATAGTACAATCGATGAAATAGAAATACAAAACGTCTATCTCGCCCCGAGTTTGAATTTCAAATTGGACAGAAAAACGTATATTCTAATCACATGGTTTGTTCTCGACTCCGAAATTAGTATGAAACTCGGCCCAAAACACCCGATTATAAAAAAATATTTTTTTTTTATTTTTTTATAACCAAAAAATTCATTAGGCATTCCACCCATTTAATCTATTTTGCGGCTGTTACGTAATTAATTGCATCCATTATTTTCCATCAATAAGTGAAATCAATCATTTTGCTTGAAATAACTTTGCCATTTATTAGATCACTGGATCATCACATATACCGGGTATTTTGAATTTTTGATAGGCAAAACCATTATATACACCAACTAAACCATCCAAGAGTAAAAGATTAAGCAATGCATCATTTCAGTATATATTATTAGTTAACGTGTAAACACCACACACACACACACACACACACAAAGATGGTAAAAAAATTTACATAAAACTACCAAAAGACTTGTTTTATAAGTTCCAACCTAACGTTTCCTAATCATATAATATAATTAGTTTAGGCAAATTTAAGTGCGTTTAATTTCACATTTCCCTTTTCCGGTTTTCAACAATTATTTTATATTAGATTGTTATACCATAATTCATTTGGATTGGGCTTAAACTCATCTTTCATATAAAATATTATTCATTTTCTGAAAAATAATAATTGAATTAAAATATTAAGGTTATTCTTATACTAATTTAAATGTGGCCTAGAAAGATAATATGCAATCAAATGTTATATCAAATTCCGTTCCATTAAAGATACATTTTTACAAGATTCGATTCGACGGCTAAACGGAAATCTCAAAACTCCAAAAAGGAACGCCTAGTGGATAGAATTTCATAAAGGTGTCAAATAAATTTGATCACGACATGACCATGTATTTTTTTGTTTTTGGAATTCGCTGATTGAGGCAAAAGGTTCAGTCCTTTCATCAGGGGCAAAGGGGTAAAAAAAACAGGTCATCGTCAATAAATTAGGTAACGTAGATTACACGTCAACATGTCACATTGTATGGCTGAGATTTAAAGTTGATTTCTTTTTCCCCTTGCACTGTACGGATGTTCCCAGGGGGGAACATGAACACTGTGAAGAAGAAAGGCTGGACTACCACGTGAACAACGACAAACATCCCCACCACCTCACATCACTACCGACGAATGAACCGGCCGGTTAGCTCCGGTCAGAGTTCATATCAAACCGGCTATGAACCAGGACCGGTATAATCATTTTGTTAACCGAGATTGCACGAGCTTATGAGTCAATGCCGGAAGCAGTGAAGCTTGCATTGATTTCGCTGCTCGAAAGGGAGAATGGCTGATTCTTTTTTTTTTTTTTTGGGTAATATTGGAAACCCGTCAGGTAGCCTTTCGGGTCGAACAGTCGTTTGACCCCGTGGGTCACATAACATTTTGGACAGTAAATCTACCGATCCTAGCCAACAAACCACGCGAAGCGGGTAAACCAACCGAAACTGACCGGTTCAAAAAAAAATTCAAAACTCAGAAAAAATCAAACTCATAACCTCGTATAGAGAGTATTTGTCATTTTGCAACTGAGTTTGGGATTTTAACCGAGAAAGACTGATTCTGTAAGGGTATATTGTCGTAGTAATTATATATATATATATAAGAAATCAATGGTTGGTTTGTCCTGTTCTTATCCACGTTCAAATCTAAATGTGGGGAATGATATTTATCCGAATTTTCTCGCTCTTTTGAAAGATGTAATTGAACCAAAAATACGATAAATTTTCAAATCATAAAAAAATGACTCATCTGAATACAAATGACATTGTGTTAAATGAAACCCGGAAATAAAAACACTAAACTTGGTTCAATTAGTGGTGAAGCTAAGCTGATTCGATTAACTTGTAATCAGTTTAAAAAATATTTATTTTCTATTTGTTGTCAATTTGTTTTTTTTTTTAAACACCAACTCACTACGACCCGTTTCATATAACCACACGGCCCAATTGATGTGGTTACTATGGCCCACTAAAGGCCTAATTTAATCACCTCATAGCAGTTGCGGTGTTGTCTACCTGCTTTTAGGCGTGGGAAACAAGTCAGATCGAACCAAACTAATCTGAACCGAACCGTTCTAAACCGAATATAACCGGGTCAAACATTGTTCTATCGACTTTTCACGATCCAAATCAAAACCAATCTAACAAATTATAATGTTTCGTTGGATTAAAGAGAAACGTTGTCATCGATTCTGAGACAGATCGAATTCAATCCAATCTTATGACACCTTCATTCGGCTCGATTGATATCAAACCGGATTAAAAAACACGAAACCGAACCGAACTAAACCGGATTCTCCGAACTGGCTGTTTCCTTCATTCTCCTATCCCAAGGAACAAAGACCCTTTTAAATCCCTAGAGAGAAGAAGGTGAAGAAGAAGTAAGGCGTTGGGGAATTTTCGGAAACTGATTTTCTCGGAAAATGGGTCTGACGAATTTCATATTGACGGTTGCCGGAGTTGGAGCGGTGGTGATTCTCTTGAGGGGCGACGTCAAGCAATCCGCCGCCGTTTTCAGGCGCAACGTCAAGCACATCCGCAACTGGCTCGAAGAAGAATCTTCGGCTGCCTCCAAGTTAGCTCTCTCTCTCTCTTGATTGTTGTGCATATACATGGGTACGATCCTTTGGCGTCGATTCTATGATTCTGATTTCGGTGTTTTTGATTCGAGGTGTTGGCGTTTTTTTTTTGTTAGATTTCGAATTTTGGATTAGTTTGATTTGTATAACTCTTTGTTACATCTTTGTTTTGATTTGGTTTCATGATCCTGTTTCTGGTCCTCTTCATTTTCTTCTGTTTCTACAGTGTGATTATTACCTGTAAATTCCGAGACCACAGTATGGTGGCTTCAGAATGATTGGAACTTCGGAGATTGTGTAACAGATATGTTTTGGTGAAAAGGGTTCTCTTTGATGTGATCACAAAGCAAAAGGGCTCTCCTGGAGTCAATCCTTAAACCAAAACAATGGTAGCCGAGCTCATGTTAAAGGGTTCTCTTGGGTTCAATCCACAACCCAAAACAATGGCAGTTGAGAGTTCTTACACTGTTCTAAATGACTGAATCCCGTCCTTGACGCTTGGTTTGTGAGTTCTAAGATGGATTTAGCATATCTTCGATGTGATTAACACATGTACACATTCAAGATTTGGTGTGTAAGAACACATATACACATTGTTGTCTTTCTGGTGAGTAGTGACACCATTGTTGCAACCACCTAGAAACTAGTTTCTTGCTCTGTTGACGTTATCAGTAAGATCTGTTCTGCATTTTTTTTTTCTCAGGGCAGCTGAGAAGGCAAAGCCAAAGGAACTAGATTCGAAGATTCCCGAGAAGGGCGTTCCGAAAGAGAAGGATTAGAGTGTCTGAATACTTGTAGGTGAAGCGATTCTTACAAGAGTTGTTCGTTTTTGAGCCCATGTTTCTACACTTGCTGCTCTAACCATGTTAACAACCGGTATGTGATTTTGAGTTCAGTATAAAGGTTCTGTATTTCCCCTTCTTAGGCCTTAAGACCATGACCTGTGACTACTTTTTGGCCGAATAATACCGTTCTTGCGCACTCGTCGAGTGAAAATTTTTAGTTTCTTGAAATCGTAATGATGATTTTGTAGTGTTTGAGTTTTGCAAAACAACAGTTTTTTGACATTCACATTCACACGGCTACTCGAGATCGAAAACTGTAGAACCCGAATTCGGATACATCTTTACAGGTATTTCACCTCAAAAATGATCTCCATGTCGATCAAATATTCGAAAATCGGGTATACTGTAATAATTCATTACGGGATACCGTTCAAGGGTAAAAGAAAACAATGTCCCCGTTTGCTTTTAGGTTAATACTTATGCAATTGTCAAACAGTTACACTCTTCTTCTTCTTCTTCTTCCAAAAGCATCCAATCCTTTGTTAATCCACTCCCCTTTTATTGTTTAGTATTAAATAACCAAAGGAAATTCTCTTCTCTCACGGAAATTTTCTTATAATTTTGATCCGAATACTGAAAGGGATCATAAGAAACGAGTTCTATTCTTCGGCTGGCTTCTCGGCCGCGTGCTTACATTTGCACCCCACTTGGTGCTGCTTATTCTGATTCTTCAGCTCGTCCCCAGCTACAAGGAAGAACGCAGTGTGCCTGTAAAAAGACATCGGATTCACTGTTTATATATATTCATTCCGAACGAGCAACATCAAGATCAAATGGATTCGGGTTGTTTTGTCCCGATTGGTATCAGCTTTCTCATAAAGATTGAAAGCAACGTTTTGGACCGGACTGATAAGAACCTAGAGGAGGTTAACTGAATAACAACACCCATAAGACAAGACTTTCATCTGTCTGGCATATGTCAGGCAGAAAACTGGCTTCTATCTGTCTGTTTTTTTCCGGAGAACCAAACAGCCCGTCCCAAGAAAAAGACACTAGATTAAGTCGGGCAAAGCAGGAGGGACGATATTTAACTATATGGTGGATGATGTACCTGAAGAAATTCATCATTTTGATTTTTGATTCAGGGTCAATATCCGAGGACTCATCCAGAGCATTTTGCATGTGCTGTAACCATCTCTCTGCAGCTTGATGTGTCACCGGAAAGGGGCGGTGCCGTGCTATCAGGGCAGGATGACCTACACAGAAGACCGGTTGCAAAAAATGATCAAAGCTAGACAAGAGAGAGGGGCAGGTTCAAAGTTTTCACTCAACATGAAGGTGAGAAGGCTCTAGTATCCTTATGAAAGTCTGTATCTTGATGACTTGATGTACTGTGGTATAACATAAAATAAATGTGAGTTAGTATCAGGTTGTCTAACTCTGCGCACAGCTGAAAGAGACAGAAGCTCAATGGTTCACCAACATGAATGACAAATCTGTTTTCTCTGTTTTTAAGTTTCTTTAAAATGAATCAAAGTGGTGGTGTTAGCATTGCATTAGTTCACATCAACCTATATACGTCAGACAGTCTGCAATTTTAACACTTAATTTGATTCTGTGCATGCCCAACACCTGAAAATCTTACAAGCAGGGGATGCTCATTCCGATTTCCACACCCAGAAATAGAATCCAGAAGGGTGAAATTACGATAAATGGCTGGCGGAGCTTGTGTGCTAAAAACCAGGTCGCAAATAAATAGGGGGGAGGAGAATTCAGGGGGATAAACTAACCTCTTCTCTGAGAATACATTGGTGGACCTCCCATTCTCTGCACAAAGAACTCATACTGGTTCTGGATGGCATCTTCTTTCTTTGAGTTTGCAAATATTGAACGAAACCATTCTTCTTCATCGTCATAAACCCTAGTCTCCATTTAAATGGAATAAACAAGATCGCCTCATGATTACATCCAAAGCAAAAAGCACCATGAATACATGCAGCATAGCTTTGAAACGAAGGAAAGCCTAAAACAGCACTCAAGCGTCAACCAAACCTGAAACCCTAGATTCTGGGTCAAATACAAAATCTCTTGGAAATTGTAGTTTCTATTTAAGTAACCAACTTCATCATAAATTCAAATCTTAAAACCCAAATAATGAAGACATCCCAATTTCTTTTTCAGCAAGCAGAATCATTTCGTTACAGATTTTCACTCGAATTCTTTCTCCAAAGAGAAATACTCTTTCTCTTTGATCAAGAAACCTCTCGATGTCCCTATACAACGACTAAACTACACATCAATAACCCACCGCATACAACATGGAAAATAAACAACTAGGGACGAATTCGAGGTTGCTTAGTGACACTTGCATCAAATACAAAATAACGGAACTTCAAATTCCCAACAAGTATACACAAGAAATCGAACCTGTTGTAAAAATTGGTGGACAGGTTGATAAAGCTCTGTAGACCGAGCTTCTCGAACAGATTGGTTTCGTCTATGGCGAACGCGTCCGCTTGATGGACTCCGCTCCATTGTGACGCCTTCTCCTGCAGCGATTGCATCTCTCTCTCTCTCTCGATCGATGTTCCGAAGGAAGCGACGAGGGAAGAAAACTGTGGGCTACGACTACGAGGTTTATAAAGGGGGAGGGGGGTCGTGATGTTCGCGTGTAGAAAACGCGCTTTTTGGCACATTGCCATTGGCTGGTTTTGATTGAATATGAGATTAAAATTTTAAAATCAAAATATTTATATTTTAAATTTAATGGTGCTTATAGTGTGATGTATATTTCAAATTTTAAAAAATTTTAACTTTAATCATTTTTATCCTTATAAATATTTGATAATATTTAAAATTATATGTATTCTTATGTTTCATTCATTGTTATACTTATATATAAGAAAAAAAATGAGGATTTGTTTGAGAGTTTTTAATAATTTTATATATTTAATAGAATTGTTTACAGAGCCTCTTGGTATAATAAATTCGAGCGAATTATTCGATGGAGGAAAGGGTATATTTTTTTTCCTCCCTAAGAACAAATCGGTCGAATTCAATGCGGACCAACTTTAAAAGAGGAAACATTGAATAATGACGTGCCATTAGTATTATTGTTAACAATATATTCTAAAGAATATAATATATCATATCATATAAAAATACTTCAAAAATTAATGCATTTTAGGAATAAAACTCTTTTGAAAACATATAAAATTAGAATTTGTGAACATAGAAAATGAGATCTTGATATCTAATTTTACAAAATTTTAACTTTCTCAAATTAGAATGTGTGAACATAAAAAATGAGACCTAGATATCTAATTTTACAAATTTAAACTTTCTGAAATTTTAAATTTTGTACTTATATTGTTTTTAGTTTTTATATTTTAATTATATTTTTTCAGTTTTTTTTTTAAATTTTAAATTTTAAATTTTTATTAACAAAGTGAATATTCTGATGGATTTAATTTCATTATTTTATATTTGAATTTTCATTTTTGTAAAAATTATATGTATTCGACATTTTATCATATCTTTCTTCAATTAGTATTATCTATTTTATTAAAATAGTGTTATTTTGTAAAAAAAACATTCGATTTTTAATCTATTTTTATATTTTGACTTATATTGAGGCTCAATTAATTTTATTTCAAAATTGGTATTTATTCTAATTCAATTTGTTTAAAAATACGTTACTTATTTCGTTAACTGGTGTTGTCACAATGTCATTATGTAGACATAGATTCTCGATGTCAACATGGTCCATCCACTTACCAGTGGTAGTGTTAGTGTTTGTAGATTCGTAATACATATACCAAGAAAAAGAAAAAGAAAATGCGACGTCCAAATATAATCGAGGGTGTCAATCGGGCCGGCAAAATCCGAATCCGCACTCGGTACGAAGGTTTCGGGTTCGGGTTCAGATTGACCCGATTTTTTTTTGGATCTAAGTAGTTAAGTCCGAAGCCTGACCCTATATATACCTATACCGAACTCGGGTCGGACCGGGCCAGCCCATATAAATCCTTTGTAAAATTTATTTATTTTTTTATTTTTTAAATATTGGGCTTTCGGGCCGACCCGATTCGAACCCGAAGCCCGATTTAGACCCGACCTGAAGTCCAATTTTTTTGGACCGAAAAATTTAGGCCCGAAGCCCGCTAATTTTTGGACTGGGCCGGACCGGGCTTCGGGCCTCGGGCCCAAATTGACTCCCCTAATATAATCTCGCTATTTTTTCACATAAAAAAATTCTGTCTTTTTATTTCCAAAGTTTTTCATGGCCACCTTTACTCTTAAAAAAAATATGTATATATTGTGACATGTAAAATTATGGTAAATAAATATGGATCGAAATTACTGATAAGGCGTTTTCGTTATTGGAGTGTAAGAGTTCTCCAAAGCATTTGACAGTTTAAGATATCAATTAAATTAGAAAGCAAAAAAAATATTCGAATTAAAATCAATATGCAAATTATGTCATGAATTTCGGATATCTAAACTTGAAATCTGAAAGAAAAAAAATCTCAAGAGTTAAAATTTGTAGCTTTTGCTATATAAAACCGAATCCATCAAAACGAATAACATATACATCTGAATTGAATCCAAAATAATTTTTTTTTTGTAAAATCGAATGCGACGTGAACCCCGACATAACTTAAAAATATCTATTTTTTAAAATAAAATCGAATACTATTATTAAACAAAAACATAATCCGAAAAGCAAAAAATGTAAATTAAAATCGAATCGAACCAATCCAAACCAAAATCCGAAATGATACCTACTAAATTTTACAATGGACTTATTATATTGGTCCTAACTTACGTCCAATGAGGAGTTTAAGAGTCTAAGATTTGGTTACCATCGTCACCAAATAAAAAAAATTAAATAAAAAATGACAAGAAAAAGAATTAAAACATTTTTATGGCTACATCTTTTTTTTTATTAATGAAAATGATCATAGATTTATAATAAAGCTTATTGAAGCAAATAAAGATACAAAATTACGAAAGAAATAAGAGATAATTGGCATAATAAATATTTTATTCTCAAATAATATTATAACTTTAATTATTATCAATCATATCTAATCTCCAAATTTTATTTTTATTTCAGTAATAATTCTCTAATCTCGGTGATAGATCTTCCGATGAGATCATATAGGATACAACCGGACTAACGATCCATAAATCATGTAAATAGCTTCGTCCTACGACAAGTGCAATGGAAAGAAAATGGATACAAATATTCAATTTGTGAGGTTGTGAAGAACACGGCAAAGGGAATATGTACATATATAGTTTTATAAGAACTCGATTATGCATCGACATGCGACCTTAACAATACCATTCGTTTTAGACAGCGATGACCCCGATGCTTGCGGTTTATGCTCTACATGTGCCCATCTTCCTATCGCCTGTGTATACGAGAATCGGTTGGTTCTGATATCAAATTTGGTAGAACTCACTTGGTTATAAACCTAATTAAATCTCTTCTAAGATCAATGGATATAACTCATCACAAAAAAAAAAAAAACTATATTGCTAGGGTGATCATATATGCAGCATCATTGCAACCCCGGAATTTAACATTACAACCAAAACATGATATTGTGTTATGGAAGGCCATATATGCCTTTGTATGGTCAATAAGCTTTTACATGGACACAAGAAGAAAGCAAAAATAGTTTAGTGAAATAGTTGAGACTTGCAGCCCAAATATTTCAGCCCATTTTTCTGTTGACTTCTGGCTTTCGGCCCGTTGACTAATCCAATGGACATATATATCAATTAGCCGATTACAAACGTCACAGTGTTTGTGAAAGTGTAAATTAAATTAAGAGACTTGCATTTAAAAAGTATTTGGCTTTTTTACATTTTTATAACAGATGTTTTGTTTCTGTTCACTTGTACAAATTCTATAATTCGTCTGTTAAATTTATATTCGAAAATTTCACAATCTTACAAGGTTGTTTATTTGTACAATACGAATGTAAAATAATCACACATATTTCATCTCTACCGAAACACAATTAACATCGTATATAGAGACGGTGACTGACTGCTACGTAATCGCAATGCAAGATATATAAACTCCTAACATTAACAAAATTCATATCTAATTCTCGTTTTTTTAATCAATAAATTTGAATTCAAATGCTAATATGTGAATTATAACATTGTAGGGGAATTTCACGTATGGTTCCGGATACGTAATTTACTAAGAATGTGGAGAACGATTCGGATAATCGACCTTGATAGTCCAAAACAATAAGAATTTATTAAATTTAATTAATATGCGACAATTAAAGACAAAACACGCAACAAAAATATATCGGATTAATACAGAATCTGTCGGCGGTGCCTGCCATGATCGCGGCAGCTAAACGACAGGTTTTAACCATTAGGGCTAATTCAAAACAGCTAAACACCAAAATCTTCCTCCTTGATTAGAGAATCTAAGCTATCGATTTTTCCTTTTAATTTAATTATTATTCCTCGTGAGGTTGTATTATTATTATTTTTTTGGTTTAATCAATGGAATATTTTGGGCTGCGTGACTTTATTTTCAATATTCCATTGAAAATGATATCGATTACTTCCTGTCCCACAGCAACACTGCACATCAAATCTTTCGTGACTACAAGTTTTGAAATATATATGTATATATATATATATACCTATAATTGCAAATATTTAATGAGCATATATTATAAAATTTTACAAAAGAATCTCCAGGGAGGTATGTGTGGATACCTGACACATGAAGCACACGTGTGGGAATCATGGGCCCCACTAAGAGGGTACATTTGCGCATTACGAAACACATGAAAGGCTAACCGTCGATGACTGAGGCATCATTTCTTCTGCACCGTCGGATTATCTCCAACAACCGAGGTCAGAGATTCTGACATGTGTCTGCGCTCACCGAAAAACGACAAACAAAAGCTGCCTAAAAGTGCACAAAAGGTTAAACTTGAACGACGCAAGCGAGTAGAATGATGGCGTATGGGTCAGGACTAAGACTTGGTCAGGTGACTGACACGTGGCTGTCTTCAGTGTCGGGCTGGTAGTGTTTTACTGACGTTACGTGGACTTTTTTCTTCCAGTTGACAGGTCACGTGCCTTATTCTCTGTTGAGACGTTATCGTTAGTTAACGTCGTTTGTTGTCCGTTAATCTATATTGATATTTTATATATATTTTTTTAGTCTGCAGCTTTATTTTTTTCACTTTTTTTTTCCTTTTATTGTCTACCTGAAATTGTCCCATACGTGGAATTTCATTCATTTTTGTGATACTTTAATGCTTTATAAATGAATCACCGGCAAACTTTGGTCTTAAATTTCATAGATTCATTGAATGGGCTATACAAGTATTTTAATTATTTTTTTCCTAGCTCGACCGTTTATGTACGACATGCAATTACTCAAAACAACGACATACTACCTAATTTGTTTTTTTTTTTTTATAAATTACTCACCACTATACTACAACCACATTTAGTACCTAATTTGTTATATCATTTTTTTTGTTAAACGAATTTGTTATATCATTCGAATCATCTATCCATTTGATTATTTAGTATATATAACCAACTCACCATTATATATATATACACATACATTAAAATGACAATATGAGTTTGTGAAAACTCATCGATCATACCAAGACTAGGTGGTAGAATTGTAAGGTGAAAAGGTACAAAAGTGTTCCACCCGAGTTTGAGCCCATCATGACCAATTTTTAACCAAAAAAAAAATCTAAAAGAGTCATGATATTATGTCAAATACGAAAAGAATAATTTCTCATAATTCTTTTGTTTTCTATAAAAATATATACAGAAAACATATATAATATAAATATAATTCATAATAATTCATAATATGTCATTATCTAATAAAAGTTATTAATATAATTTATTCTAATGTTTATTTACATATTTATCTACTATGGGATGGTCGAGTGGTTGAGTTAGGTTTGGTAACCATCACAGATTAAATGTTCGATCTCTATGACAAGAAGAGATATAATTTTTTGGCTAATTTGGTTTATATAGTTATTCGCGAACCGAAAATTTATCTAACCAATGTGTTCGAATGTGATCTGTTATAAATATATATATATATATATTCTAATGTTTCACATTAAAAAAATCCAATGTGTGATTTTACAAGATCCGTGGACGCTTCATCGCGTCTACATGTCCTCTAAAGCAAACACGTCAACTTTGTCGTTTGGTGATACAATTAACTTTAATCAAGTTTTTAAAGTTAATAAAGAGAGAAGTGGAAAACTATAGTACAGTAATAAATTTCTCCAAAGTCTAAAGTTTCATCCTTTTTTTCAACATTCGTTTGCTTTTCACCGTTTAGCTTTAACCCCTCTTAATTTCTAGTTTCTACTAAAGATTTTTCCATATATATATATATATATATATATATATATATAAAAGATAACAAATAGTGTTTTTGTTCAGAAATAGTTTTTAGTTTTTAAGAAGGTAAAATTGCAGAAAAATTACATGGATATTTTCAAATGATCATTATTAATCAAATTGTTTTGTTACACATGATTTAATTTAAATATAATAATTGTTCTGATTGCTTTTAGTTCAATTAATAGCTGGTGAACTTTAGTTTATATATTATTTACTTTAAATTTTATATTTTCGTTGTAACTGAATATTTTTGAATGTATTTAGAATTGAATTAGAAAATTACAACAATTACTCTTTCTTTCCAGTAGTTATATATATATATATAAAAATATAATTTAGTTTAATACTACAATTATTTAGAAGTGAAATCATAGTGTTTTGAAGGAATGTTATTTTGCCTATCCTAAGCTATTTATAAATTGATAAACAGTTTCCAAAATTATAAATTTTCATGTATCTAAAATTCTCATATAATCGTTACTTGCAACCAAAAATGTATTCGTAAGCTATATAGCTTCAAGTTTAATTACTTCGACAAAAATGTAAATATTGGACAATTTGCCTTTAGAAAAGATTACGGTTTGGTAAGAAGTAATATTATTGCACGTGACAGTTTACCTTATTTATCACAAGTCTCGCAATGTTACAACCAAACCCAATAGATTTTAACGAGTAAAATTGTTTTGATTAAAAAAAATCATGATTTAAATTATTATGTTTAAACACTTTGTTGTATTAAAAAGTTTGAGTTTCAAAGGTATATTTATATGTACATATATTAAACTAATATTCATCCGTTATTATATTATTATATATAATATACTTTTCCACTTTAGACTATTTTTCTAATATCTTGTTCAGTTTCGGCCACGGAAAGAAGATACTAATTTAATTGGTAAAACTAATGCTTCTCTGACACAACAATCAATGCCTGTCGAGATGTGACGCAAGTAAGGAATATTTCTTTTATAAAAACGTAATTATTATTATTATTATTATTATTTGTTATCAAATGTATGAAAATATAGTAGAACAAAATTTATGTAAGCTCGAATTTTTTAATTTTGAAATAGAAATTTATTGACTACACAATTTAGAATATGTTTTTGAAATATTTGGAATTTCAGTATTATTTTGAACAAAACAAATATAATTCGATTAGAAATAAAAAAAATTAAGCTAATATAAGTTTTGAATTAAAAATGAATTCGAATTGAAACATAACCAATTAAAATATTTATTAATATTGTGCATAATAATAAAGGAAGTAGGATAATTTAAGATGAATATATAAAATATATTTTTCCGATATTGATATTGTTGGAGGTATTGTAAATATCGTATAATACGTGTAAAATATTAAATTGACTAGAAAATTAGATAAATGAACGTTTTGGGATTACTTTTTCAACAAAATTAAATAATGGAAATGAAAAAATAAATTGAATAAAACAAAAATAAATAGGAAATTCACAAGCCCACAGAGACGGGTTTCTGGTAAAAGCACTGTGGTGGTAAATGCGATCTGTGGGTGAGAAAAACCTCCGTTATTACTGCCCTTTCTAGAGTATTCCTATTATTTTAACTTATAATAATCATTTTATCATATTAGTTAAAATTTTAGTAATTTTCTAAATTAAGCTAATGAGTGTATCTGGGTTTTTCCCGTCGAAATTATATGATTACAGAATTTTATGTTTTTAAATTTATATACATATATGTATATTGGAGAGATATTGGAATTAAATCAATATCCGAAACAAACAAAATAAAAATATTAATATATATATATATATACACACTCTAATTCAGAACTTTTCTAAAGAAATAAATGTTCTAAAATATTAAAACGATCATTTTCAAAAGATTTGGATAGGTTATCAACGTTAATTTTCTCCGTACTCTGTTCATAAAACATGTAACCATCCTTCCAATGCTTCCATAAACTTCGATATCATATGTTGATTAATATTTAGGATTTCGCTTTACTTTCTCTTATTATTTTTTTATTTCAAATTTTCATCTTAAAAAATATTGATATTAAAATTTTATAGAAACATCTTATATTATATTTTCTATTATAATTTTGATTTGTTTGAATTAAAAATATTTAATTGTTGTTCTTTAATTTTGTCTTATTTTTGTATTCTGTATTGCTTCATTTGATTTAATAAAAATTAAAGGGATATTTTAATTAAATTCATCTGTCTCTATTATATATATAAACAATTTTGATTTATTTTACCAAAAAAAAAACAATTTTGATTCAATTTGTCATATTCCGAATTATTTTTCTCTTTTTTATTTTTTACGGTTTGCACTTTCTTCAATTTCATCTGCAAGTTTTTAATTTTTTTTTTTTTTTTTCAAAAAGCGCGGATGAGGTGAGAAGTTCGTGTCTATATACAGCCAAAATTGCAGAGAGAGAGAGGGGAGGTTCTAGAGAGCGAAGTCTTTGAGAAGCTCAGTCCAGTCCTCTTCTGCTCCCCAGACTCTGAAACCCTAACCAGAGCGGAAGCGAGAGAAAGAGACGATTCTTCATCTCCGAAACCCGAAAGAAGGATCCGGGTCAGATTTTCCCCTCCTTTTCCCGATTGTCTACCGAAGGATTCGAAAGTTTTTGCGATAAATTCAACTCATAGCGAGTTTACAAGTGCCGTAGATTCTGTTTGCTGCTATATCTTTCTTTTAATCTCAGTACGGAAAATGCATATTCTTGTATTTCTGGGCTGCTGCTTCTTGGGAATCTTTCGATTCGAGTTTCATATAATAATCTCGTTTCAAATTGTTCTTTCAGTTTGAATGCAAAAAAAATAAAAATAAAAAAAATTGTTCGATTTCCTCATAGAGTTCTGCCAATGGTCATTGCATAAATCTAAATAAAACTCTTATGATTATTTTAACCATTTAAATCGTTTTGCTATGTTATCATGAAATAGACATTTTTGTGTTTATTTTCTATGGTGTAAGTGTTTGTTTTTTCTTGGAGTTTTCTGGGTAATGCTTTAGCTTTAGGGAGAAGGAGAAAGACGAAGTTCTTGCATGTTATTCGCGCAGTTTGTTTAGATTGTCCTTTTAAATTCAATAGGGTTCTTCTTTTCATGATTTCTTTTTTTTTTAGATAAGTAATTTGTTATATAAGTAACGATTAATCCGAAATGCTCGGTGCTTATGGAATATACTTATCCGATGCTAATTTATCGGCATATTCTATGATTATAGATACATATATATATATGTATCTAAAAATACAGATAACATCTGGTATGTTTGATCTGAATCCTGATTATGTGCTTGATTTGTTAACAGACTGAGATCATAATGCTGAAGACAAGAACCAGTTCTCTGTCTCAACACAAAGATCAAGCAGCAATGTCTCAGTTTCTTGATCCCAAACCTGAGCCTCCCAAAACCATCACCAACCCTCTGGGTCTCCTGATCGGTCTGAGCAAAAAGGATCTATCAAGTTATGATTCTGTCAGAAGCCCTACTTCTCCACTGGAATTTAGGGTATGCTCAAACTTGACGGAGCCTTTCATTAGGTCTCCGAGATCATCATGGCAGAATGGTCATCAGTTCAACTGCTTGGGACCCGCTAAAGTTGGGTTAAGCATCGTGGATTCTCTTCACAATGATCAAAATTTGTCACGTGACGTCATTTTTGGAGCGGCTGTGAGGATCAAGACCCTCAAGAATCAGGACAAGAGTCCTGAGTTCGATCACGAACCCAAGTCTTTGTCCGAAGGTTTCCCCGCGTTGCAGACGACCAAGGAGATCAAGAATGCAACATCTGGTGTTATTTTTGAAATCGGTGAAGACCCTTTTGAGCCTGAGCCTGTAGGGTTGAAAAACCGATATTTTTCTTGGGGTTCTTGTAGGTCTTTGCCAACAGGATCTGGTTTAGCATTGTGTGGAACTGATTCGAGTTCCGGAAGTGATTGTCTGAGGAAAACCCGAGTTCTGTCTCGTTCCAAGCTGGGGGAAGAACTCAGCAACTCGAGCCACCTTTTAGATTTGAAACCGGAACCAAAATCTGGATCAGTTGTCCCAGATACCGGATTACTTGGTTCTTATTCTTCTGCAAATGACATTGAACTGCTAGAAGATTACACTTGTATCATCTCACACGGTCCTAACCCGAAAACTACTCATATTTATGGTGACCAAATTTTAGAGTGTCACAATAACTTGAACAAGGGAGGTTTTTGCGGTAATAAGGAGGATCACATTCCAACCGAGCCAGACTCCCTGTTTCCCTCCGATGACTTCTTGAGCTTCTGTTACTTCTGCAACAAGAAGCTGGAAGATGGGAAAGACATATACATGTACAGGTCCGTTCTCCGTTTTCTACCGTATTTTCTCAAAACACACATGTCCTGCATACCCCAGTTGCAGAGTTACATTGCCTTACAAGCATACGATGATTCTGAGTTATGTTGCTGATGTAAAAGTGGAAAACTTTCCCTGAAAATTTGGGTGCTACTTTGCCTGATGGATCATGTCCTGCAAATATGAACAATCTGAAACTGTTTCTATGATATATGCAACCGGAACTGCATTTGTAGGCTCATGCTTGTGTAATGATATGCAGAGGAGAGAAAGCCTTTTGCAGCGTGGAGTGCCGTTCAGAGGAGATGCTGATGGATGAGGACCTGGACGTGAATCTAAACATGCCCGAGCCTCCTACGAGACCCTGAGCACGAAACAAAACAGACGATGTGCGGGAAGACATGCTTTTTGGAGGAACCCGATATCGTCTTCACTACCATAAAAGACTAATCCTTTCTTCATCAATATTGGTATCTGAAATCTCTCAGTAGAAGGTGGGGAAAACTATGAAAGAACCGTTCATCCGTTTACAAAAGAGCTGTCTTTATGTGCATCTATTAGCAGCAGCAGCAGCCACGGATGAATCGGGTTTTTTTTTTTGTAAATTTTTTGGTATGAAATGAGATGCGTTTTTTGACATTGGGGCTCTTGTAATGTTATCAGCATACTGAAATAAAAGGGTTTAGGGCAAAGTTGATGTGGTTATTTATTTCCCCCCTTTGAGTTTGAGATCCCTTTTGGTGTTTTCTGTTTGCTGAAATAGTTTGAGTTTGTAAGTTAATTATTGATTAAAGGAGACTTTTAAAAAAAGGGACAATGGACTTAAAATACCCCAATTTTTACAAAAATCTCACATAAATATCCGAACTATAAAATTGTCATATAAATACCTGAATTTTTCATAATTCTCATATAAATATCCAGACTTTTAAATTTTTTCCAAATCAAACACTCAGTTAATGTCATTAAACGTAACTGCTGACTTAGTAGACTCAGCAAAAAAACCTATTGACTCATCAGTTTTTTAAAAACTAAAAACTGATGACTCAACAAAAAAAAATTTATTAAATATCCAAATTTATATATATATATATATATATA